TCCCCTTCATAAGCCCTAGTGTTTCTCTATAGAGGGCCAAGCCCCATCTTTTTTGTCTTAACTGTGGTATATGGCCAATCACTGATGCTTTCACCTTATATTTTACCCTGATCATAGAAAGTGGCAGTTGCTCTATAGCCAAATAATTAATCCCCCATTATTGTCTAGGTATAGAGCCTATGCATCTCCTTCAAGGGCCTGTCTCTTCTCCTCTAGCAGAATGTGTCTTCCTCTCTGATAGCATCCTTTATGTCTTTTTAGGAGTTAGTGGATGGAGGTATTTGACATGTTTACTGCAGAGTAGGCTAATTAGCCCTGCAGTAAGTGTCTTGCATCTACATGTGTGGCCCCAATTAGGAAACTAATCAACTCTGCAGCAGGGTAGTACTTGTAAATAAAAGTACTATCCTATTGTGGATTGTTTTACTCTGCAGCAGCACAAGTGTAGATGCTGACATGACTGCCTGGGGCATGACAGTGCCTGCCAGCTAGCCCTGCACTGGAGCAGCCTCATGGCCCAGCCAGCCCCTCTACAGCACGTTGAGCCAGGTCAGAATAGCCTCAGGCTGGCAGGCTGACACCCCAGACTCTCTGCCTTCCAGGGCTGCTCCGATCCAGCTCAAAGTGCCGGGGTTCTGGGTGCATGCGTAAACGCAGTGCCCTGAAACAAACTCTGGCACGGTGTGCTGGATTTTATTGCTTTGCCTCCATAGCACATGTAGACTTGCCCAGTGTGGACTAGCGGTTTGTGTACTAGCCTAAAGACTCAGGAGACCTTCATTGTACTCCCAGCTCTATTACTGACCCACTGTGTGACTTTGGGCACGTTGCTTATCTTCCCTGTTTCCCTTGGTCTATTTGGATTGCAAACTTTGGGGTAAGGATCATCTTTCCCTGTTCAGTATGATATGGTATCAAGCACCAGGTGGCTTCCAAACGCTGTTGCTTCTTGAGATATGGACCTAGTGCTAATGCACTTTCCCTCCATGTGCAAATGCTCTTTGGCAGCCTTGTTGGGTGACCTGTGTGCTGTCCCTGATAGGAATACACACCTTTCTTGGAAAATCAATGCTGGGTATTATATTTCAGAATCTCTTTTGAACTCAAAGTACTTTGTGCCCATGATTAAAGTGTGAAAAGGTTTGTCTGTGGGATTTTATAGCACAGCGATGCCCAATGCAGGCCAGATAAGTGATGCAGGACTCATCCACAGGCCTGAAATTCAGCAGCAGGAGAGCAGTAGCAGTATTAATTGCTGCTCCATGGGCTGGATCTGGCTTGCAGGCCATAGGCTGATAGTATGTAGCTGTATTAGATTAAGTATACCTGATCTCACCTGCTCTCCTAAACTAAGCAGTCTTTGACCTGGATAGTACACAGACCACTTTGGAATCCCAGATGCTGTGCACATAAACCAAGGGGTTGTTGCCAAATACTTGGCGATTACTAAACTATAAAAACTGAATGAGTGGTGCAACTTCATTCCACCCCATCATTGCTGGTGGGTGAGAGTGGGGAAGGAAGAGTAGTAGCCCATATTGCTGAGCCTATAGCAGTGATATTGTCCAAGGGAGTAGGGACCTTGCTCAAACTTCACTGATATTAATGGCCAAAGGCCACAAGCTTTGAAGGGGCCTCCATATGCCTTTAAGTATTGGCCATCCTTATGACATCTAAGGATGCCATCTAAAGAAAAGCCTCTCCCTCATTTTGTTTTCCTAGACAGCTGTGCATTTCAAAGACAGATCACACCTGTATGACAGGCAGCTCTTGCAGGTTGCAACAGAGATGTTTTCAAAGAGAAGAGATTGGAGGCTCTTAGCAAACAGCCTTGGGTTTTTGGAGGAGGACTGTTCCCACCTGGAGCATGAACATTCAGAGGTAAAGAGCCAGGTAAGAACCTGAAACAAAGCTGTATCAGCCTCTTTCCTGATTTGGATTTCCTCTGGTGTAAGAGAGGGCGGGGGCCAGACATTTGAAATTGTAAGTTCCTTGGGGCAGCAACTGAGCCTAGCTGTATAGAATGTCAGTAACAGAGGCTGGGATCAGACAGAGACATAATAAGAACCAGCAGCTGATAGGCAAGGTCAGACAAACTCAGACTGGAAATAAAACACAGATTTTTAAACATGGAAGGTAATTAACCCTTGAAAGAAATTACAAGGGTTTGTGGCGAGTTCCTTGTCACTGGCAATTTTTGAAACAGGACAGAATATTTTCCCAAAACCCATGCTCTAGTCCAGACAGCAATTGATTTGGGGAAATGCTATGGCCTGGGATATACAGGACATTGAACTAGATGGTTCATCTTGGCCTTAGATTACATTAATCTGAGTCTAGAGTCAGAGGTAACCAGTGGGGTAGATTTGAAGTCATTGGAGTAGAATTAGTGGGAGGCAACATCTTTGTTAGATCTATCTGGGATCTACTCTCACATTACCATGGCCATCTGACCAAGGGTAGAACCATAAACCTTGCATCTCATTTAACATGCAGATCCTGGCATTGTTGCAGACTTGGCGAAAGATGTGTCAGGAGGCTCCTCTACCTGTCCAGCAGACGGCACTGAGACAGAGTGGTAATGCGGACATTTGCAATGAAATATTTAGCTTGAATTTCTGAAGGCATCATGTGAATAGCATACAAACTGGAGAGAAACCAGATCAGCTAATTTCAAACAGCTGTGCAAACTCATGGTCCTTTTTCCTTGGAAGAGCAAACATTTGGGATTTGCTGGCTGAGCTTTTCAAAATTGCACATGGGATTTGAGTGTCCATGAGTTGTAGTGGGAACCTGCCATCCAAATCTCTTAGAGGGGTTTGAAAAGTGAGCAGTCTTTATATGGGCTAGGACAGAAGTTACACACAAACTGGTTTAAGTGATCAGAAACTGGTTTAAACCTATAACAGAACAGAAGCTCAGTGGACATAAAACAGCATCAAAATGGCTGAAACTGGTTTAAGATAAGTCTGATACTACATTCAAGCAGGTTTAACTGATTTGGGTCAACAGGTTTATGAAAATTCTGTTCCAGACCCCTTCCTGGTTCAAGTTAAATCACAGTCCCCCAGCATCCCAGCATGCTCTGCAGCCCTGGGCTGGGCCATGCCATGCTGTCTGCTCCAGGGAGCGGGACTGGCCCCACCCCTCTACTCCCTAGCTGGAGCAGTGAGGG